GTTGTAGTTGTGGATAGTCTAAAATTAATGTCTAAAGAATTACAAATATCACGTATGTCAATAAAATCATATTTAATTTATTAAAATAATAGCAATATTGACATTTAATTTTAGAAAAATAGTTTACAAAGATTCTAGTATCTCTGTTAGGACTGTTATAAAGCATTTACACTGTGTGTCAGATTATTTAGTGTTTTTGCGAATTGGATGGATCGGATGGTCCATGTCAGATAAATCAGGTGGATTCTTTTCATAGTAACTAATCTCTCCCATACCTTCTGCAGCGATTTCCCATAAATCCGGATGTTTCCGTTTAAAGTTATTATACCATTTTTCTACGCAAGGCCATGCACTCAATTTGAAATCAATTGCTTCTAGACACATGGTTGCAGTAACTAATGGGAAATCGGCGATAGTCAGTGTATCTGTTAAGTAAAATGTAAAAGTTAAACTTTCAACTGTTATTATTTAATAACTATATTATTGTGTAATAATACAAGTGATATAATGCGAAGGATATATAGAACGATCTCTTTTTGTAAAATATGTCAGTATTATTAAAAAAACAATTATATGTTTTTTTTACAAGTAAGAAAATAAATCTTATAAATCAAGTATATTTTTGTATAATATTTTACGATCTCTTCAATTTTTACAATAAATTCCATAGTTTGTAGAAAAGTTTTAGATGTAGAAAGTATACTTACTACCCGCAGCATATTCTGAATTGTCGCGTTGCAAGTATGTGTTAAATACATCTAGTGCTATCGACATTTTCTTTAGACCCAGGGGAGTTCTTTTGTAATCAAAAAATATAGGAGCCATCTGTACAAACGTTTGAAAATATAATAAAAGTCTGTTCAAAAAGTATTAAAAGCTATGTAATTGCATGTGTTGATAATAGAACCACATCCACTTTGAAAATAAGTTTGTGAAGAAAACAAGACCTGAAGTAAGTAAAAAGTAAAGGAGTGAGAAAAAGTCAAGAAGAATATGGTAAGATGCTTAAGCATGTTTAATATATGCAATCTAAATATGTATTTTACAAGTGAATGTTAAAAATATGAACCGTTATGTTATTGTGCGCCAAATTTTTCTTTACTGTTACAGCATGCAATAACTTTTGTCAGTATTTTTTCAATATGCAGTATTAAATTAAGAAATTAAAATCATTAGCCTAAATTTATAATCTTCGTATAAAATTTATAAGTATTGCAGTTAAAAATGCATTTTTAAAATTACAATAGTTAAAATTTATTGTAAAAGAATAAAATAATTTGACAATTTGTTTTAAAGATAAAATCATCGTTACAAAAATTTTCACACAGATTGAACAATGTAACAAATTACAACTGTTTATATAATTTTTTTTATCATTTTGTATAATTATTTTATGCTACCACTCATTTAATATAATCTTTGAAAATTGATTGGTACAATGTTAGTGCACGAGAGGCACGTAAAAATGTAAAATAGTATAAAATTTACTAGAAAAAGGGTATTAATTATTTCTCCATCTGTATCTTGATGAAAATCTTATTGTTAGATTTACAGCTTTTCTACGATTTTAGCTTTTCAGTACTTTATCTTTCAAATTATTAATAACAGGTAAGCAGAAATTTTCGAACGTTATGTGCACTTAATTGATCCTCGTATTTACTTACCACATATTCAGAAATATTACGATAATACATAGATAAATTAAAACACAAACGATGGTTGATAATTGCACGAGCTTTTGGGTCCTTTGGATACAGTTTGCCTGCGGTATCGTATTTATCACCGAGATATTGTAAAATGGCGTTACTAACGTATGCGTTTATGAAAACAGAATGAAAATTACATCGATTACTATGACTCTTGAATTGTAGTTAATTAATTTATTAGACAGCAAGTTTTAAGTTTCATTTCATAAAAGCATATTCTTATCACTCGCT